AGATGGTGGCCTTTATTGTTGGTTATTAATTACATTTAGTCTCTATCCTAACAGGCAGGAAAGATGTGGAGCCAGGCTAGGCCACAGGGCAGCTGGCTCACTCTGTCCTCATGACCCTGAGTGTTCTGGCCACAGTCATGGCCCTCCCTCCAGCTCACCTGGATGTGATCCTTGCTCCATTGGTTGTGTTAGTTGACAGTAAAGTTAGGCACTGAGGACAGGAGAGGGCTCAAGGAAGGACATAAAAGAAGAGGTAAAGCCTTGGAAAAGAGTTGGGACCATGCCAGTCCCTACAGTTTAGAGAGGAATGGACACCCTTTTTCTTATTCTTGCCTGAGCTACAAAGGACCAGAATGGGAGCCATCTTAGAGAAAGCGTGTGAGGATTATATAGGGATCTAGGAGACCAGGAGACTAGACGCGCTGGAGATCTTTCTTGGAATGTCAGGATGAGTAGGAGAGAAATCTTAGAGTATAGCTTTGGAATTCAAAGACTTTGTAGGTTTCTTTCTTTTTCAATGAGAAGTTTAGTCTTTTGTTTATGAACCACTTAACTAATGAGCTAGAGAATTCAGGGAGGGGCCCAGAAGAGAGGAAGCAGGAGAAGCTACCTCAGATTGGCTAAGGGGAAGAGAAGCAAAGGAAACTATTGTGTGTCTGCCCAGAGGGTCCTGGTCAGCTTACCCGAGTAGAGTAGGAGTCAGGGATTCGGAATAGAATTTGTCTTTCTGGTAGTGAATAACTGAGCATTTGGCTGAAGTTTTCCTTGTGCAATCTCTAGGAGGATGTTGAAGAGTGAAGAACTATAAACAATCCCAAGTAATAGTTAAGAATTCTGTTCTCTAATCTCTGTGATTAATTTCGATACTATTTTTACTACTAATAATAAACGTTTATTGACCACTCAGGGGTATACATTATCACTTTTAATGTTTAGACTACAGCAAAATAGATAGTATTATTATCCCAATTGAGAAAATTGAGTATTTGAGAATATAAGCAATGCCGATATCTCATAGCTAGCATGTGGCTCTGAAAAGAAGTGGTCTGGCTCCTACCAGTAGTCACATGAACCACCCTCTTACTGCCAACTGGGAAAATCAGATGTTCTGAAATGAAGCTCTCTTAACACTATTCCTAGATATCACCACACTCTTTACAAAACTCTGCATAGGGAAATAACTTCCTCTGTCTAATCACTTACAGTTTACAAACTGTTTTCCATAAGGTGTTTTGGTCTCATTTTATTACATTAAAGCACTATTCAACCTGGCAAGATAGGTTACAAAGCTAATTTTGCAAATGAGAGTCTGAAGATCACAAGTCATCTTGTGGAACTTTTATAAAACTAACACCATATACCTAGTAAGTAGAAGTGCTAGACCATAAACCAAAGTCTTTTCTGAAATCCAGGTTTGTTCAATTTGCCACGTGTTTTTTACTGTGTCCTACCAGTAGCTACTCTGTGACTCTACTGCATTGTTTATTGTCATATGTTTGTGTGATTATCACAGACTTTACACATTTTTATTTGACAATAATTTATCATTCCTTCATTTTCCAACTTGCTTATTCAGTGTCCCAGGTGGCCAGAGCCTATGCCACCAGCTCAGGGCGCAAGGCAGGAGCCAACTGGACAGGACACCATCCCATCAAAAGATGCATTCACATACACCCATGCTCACTTATATCAGGATTATGTAGACATGCCCATTCACCTAATGTGCACATCTTTACATGGGAGGAAACTGGAAGGCCCAGAGAAATCCCATGCAAACTCCACACAGATAATGGCCCAGCCATAACTGGTTTGTTTTTTTTTTTTTTTCATCAGAACAACACTGAATGAAACAATGTTATTCGAGGATCTACTGTATTTCAAGGTGAAGGCTTTAAGTCCAGAATCTAAGAGATTCCCATTCACCTGTTTATAACCCTCATTTATCTGAAACATGTTTCCATCTGAAATTATTCTTACTGTATCATGACCTTTGCATTATTCTGAATCCCTACAAAACTTCCTCTGTATTAGTAATTGTGTATTCATATGCTGCTTTAATGTAGTCTTGCAACCAAACTCAGGTCTGCTGCTTGCTGCTCAAAAGCCAAACTTGAGAGATGATTTGGTGGAAGGAAAAGCAAGTTTATTCAAGAGGCAGAAACCTGAGAAGATGGTGGACTAATGTCCCAAAGACCATCTCAAGTTCCTTTGGCTGATTGAAGGATTTTTAAAGGGGAAAGGGGCTGGCTGCCTCCAGATCAGCATGCCTTGTTCTGTTGGTTACCTTGAGTAAAGGGCCATCTGACTGTGTGGCTGGTGTCAGACCGACTACAAGAGAATTGAAGATTAACTGCTTAGCATTTTTCTTGGGGAGAGTGGGTCCCACGATCTCGGTTCTATAGTTAACTGCTCAAAGCTCGTCCTGAAATTCTTAAGCAAACATACAATTAGACATTGTAAAAGAAAGAGTGATCATTTGCTTCAAGTTGGAGTAACTGCAACTGTTACAGTCTCATGTTATTTAAATGTTTGGGGTCTATACCTCAGAGATAATCTATAAAATTTCTTTGATGGTAGAGACAGTTTCTTCTTGTCAAACTCCCAACCGTGCCAGTGCAGTGCTGTGTGCATCCATCGTAAGAAATGTGGTTACAAAGAAGTTAAGGGTCTGTATGCGCTTCTTGGCATCAGCCTCTTGCATACATGTAGCAGCGGCTGGGAACTCCCCTGCACCCTTGGTTAGCTCTTTTTGTTTAGGAATTCTCTTTGCTGGTCCTTGAGAGATGTGCCCCTCTGTCTACTAATAGCACAGGGACTTATCTCTTTCTTGTCTCAAATAAAACAAAGTAATGAATGTAACAGGCTCTAGGAAGGAAGGGAAATAGAAAGGATTAAATACCCTCTCTCACTGCTGAAACCTTAGCTACAAGATGACCCATAAAATAGGGCCTCAGCCTCACTTTCCTTTCATTCATCCGCCACTGCTATCTCTCCAATTTCCAAATAAGCAACTCAGGCTCTGAGTCTCAGGACCATTGGAACAACTGAAGTTTCTTATGAGTAGGCAGAGGCCTAAAAATAATTCTATTTGAGCATTGCTTCTGATCAGGACTAAAAAACGTATGAATCCTTATGACTGGTCTCTATTCATATCCTGAATTTTTTATCTAATTGCTATAAAATAAAGCATAATATCATCCAGGAAGAGGACATTTCCATGTTTAGTAGAATATATTAACCTATTTTATGTTTATGTATGTATGCATATATAAATGTGGCTAATGTTAGTATGAAATATTTGTACAGTTTATATAAAGTATTACACATTTCTGACATATAATCTCATTTAATCTCCACAACAATCACGTGAGATAGTCATTATTTCTATTTTAAAGATGAAAAAACTGATATTCAAAGTAGTTATATGAATTTCTCATGGTCAATTAGAAAATGGCAGATCTAGATTTTGATCACAGTTTTTCTGACTTCAAGTCCACAGTTTTTTTCATGTCCTCTTGCCTGGAGCAAATAAAGATGCAGTCAGGCATTAATGGTGTGCTGATTTAGTCTCATTGCCTGTGTTGACAAATGCCTGTTTCACATGGTTATTCATTTACTGATTCATTGAGCAAACAACCCCATAACTTCCTCATGAAAGCCTGTGGAAGTACCAAGATGAGCAGGACATGGTTCCTTCCCTCAAGTCAGCCAAATATTAGGTGTGAAGTCATGAGTGGGCAGGCTGCCATGGATCATACAGTAGGGGTGCCAGACCAGATTAGGGGCTCACCAAAAAACTTCTTAGAAGGGACTGTGTCTAAGCTATGTAAAATGGGCAGATTATCATGGTAATGAGTCAGGTGAAAGTTATCATAAGCAGAGATACAAGTGTGTGTGAAAACTGATATGAGAAGGAATGTGACCAGATAACAGATCAGTACAACTAGAATACAGGATAAAGGAGAAGTATTTAGCAAGTTAACAGCCTGACCACAAACTGCTCATTGTGTTGAGGATTTTAGATTTTATACTATAGGTAGGACTGTTGAAAAAGTTGTGAGCAATGTGCAAAATGATCAAACTTCTGTTTTAGAATAATCCCTTGTGAAACAGCCTAAAGGAAGGGCTAGAGGGGAGCAAGAATGGCAGAGTGAGTTATGGCAGCAAGCTCTAAGAATAACCCACCTAAGAAATGATGGCACCAGCTCCTAAGGCCAGGAGGCAGAGGAAATTAAGAAAGGACAGGTACTTATTTAGAAGATTAACTATTATCTTAAAAGGACAGGGATATTTCATCCATTGGTGATAGGGAGGGAAGGCAAACAATTATGAAATTCCATCTGGAAGTCCTCTGCTATTCTACTGAGAGGTAAAGGGGAAGAGAAAGGGAAAGGGGCCTTTGTGTGAGCAAAGGGGCAAGGACTAATGAGGGGTCTGTGGAGGATTCATTGAGTGGGAGGCAAAGGCAACTGGCCACGTGCTGGGAAGGGCAGGCAATTTGGCTGCGGCAACTGAGGGCTTATTCAGAGCTTACAGATGTTATAAATATACTTAAAAGGCATTAGAGATTTTTTGAAAAGTTCTCCTCTATGACTTGCTTTGATGAATAACATGAACACAAAAATCTCTTTGGAGCTCCTCATATAGATTGCTTATTTTGGTCACTACCATAGGTGAAATTGAGAACTTTGAATCAGGCAGAGTCTGTTTCAAATCTTCAAGCATCCATTGTCATATCTATGAAATTGTAAGAACTTTACCAATCTAAGTGGTGACAGTTAAAAGATAATGAAAATAAAATCATTAAACATAATACTTGGTGAATAATAATTGCCTAATGAGCAATAGCCACTAGTAATACCACTATAACTAACAACCACCGCCACCACCATCATGAGAATATGCAGTACATTTTAGCAGTCCTTGGGGTACCTTTTGAATTTGGGTTCTAGGAGAAGTTGGAAATCATACAATGTACCCATTTTTTCTTCTAATCCCAGGTGACCATGCAACATTTGAAAAGCAAGAAGATCTTCAATTTTGTAGCAAACATGTGGCTGTCTCGGATCCAAGCAGAAGGGGACATTGTCTGTGAGCTTCCTGTAGTAAAAGAAGGACAAGCTATTTTTCCATGTGTGTTATTAATCTTCAATAGCATATATTCCATATAAAAATTGGTTTATAGTTGCTTACATTTCCATCTGAACGATTTAGTTATAGAATATTTTTCCTATGTCTAAGAGAGTTATTTTATCCCTTGAGAAGTGACTTTTCTAGTGTTACAGCATGAGTCACTGGTGGATCTGGGATTAAATGTAATCTCACAGTGGTTCTTGTGGCCCAGCTATAGTCACAAAGGCTGAGGCTGTGATAGATAAGATGTCATGGCTGTGCCTTACCTAACTTTGTCTGGGACTGCTGGCCTCCTCCTGCCAGCATCTCACTTTTGATTTATTTCCTCATCAAACCTTGTATCATTTTAAACTTTAAGCATCATGTGCAATAACATTGTCTCCCTAGCCACTAAAATTCTAAGCACTAAATGTCCTCCTAAGTCATATAGAGAAGAACACCCTTTAAAAAAATCTTTTACTTTTCTTTCTGAAAAATCTATAAACCTTCTGGGCATTAATTCATGGTGTAAAAATGCCCATTTATTATTAAAATTAATAATTAAAAGTCTCTCCATAGACACAGAAAGTACAAATTAGAGGAATTCTCATATGATGTTTTTTTACTATAGCCTAAAAACCCATGGATCTGCTTTCTATTTATATGAATTCCAAGGTAACAGATTTCTTCTTCTTTTCTCTCCATGTCACTTTGCCAGTGGTGAGATACCAGATTGATGTGTACACTGGGCAACTGAAGCAAGCAGAGACAGAATCTGAGGTTTTCCTTTGTCTCTATGGGGAAAGAGGAGACTCTGGCCTTAGACAACTGTACAAATCTAACATGCCAGTAAAATTTCAAAGAGGACAGGTATGTCTGTGTAAATAACCTCTAAGGTTCCTAGCAGTCTCTCTGAAAATGGCCATGTATGATTTAAAATTTAAAAGGTCCTTGACACTCTCCAATTTTAGTTTTAAGACATCTTTAACACAAGTTTTCCTGACTTGACTTCCTAATGTGCTCTGTTTTAGAAGTTTTTCTTGAAAGAAAAGTGGGACACACTACCAATAATAAATAATAGAACAAAGAAAAAGACATTAAAAATAAGTGAACATGTAATAAAAAGAAAAAAATAATGAATTGAAAAAATAAGGAAGATATATGAATATGCTTTGTCAGGACTGAAAAGTACAAGGCATTATTCTAAAAGGTCAGAAAGTCCAGATTAGAGGACTTCTTTTTATTTATTTATTTATTTTTTCAGCATATTATGGGGGTACAAATGTTAAGGTTACATATATTGCCCTTGCCCCCTCCCCTCTTGAGTCAGAGCTTCAAGCGTGTCCATCTCCCAGTTGGTGCGCATCATACTCATTATGTATGTATATACCTATTTCCTCCCCCTCCACCTGCCCAACACCCGATAGATGTTATTCCTATATGTCCACTTATGTGTTGATCAGTTAATACCAATTTGCTGGTGAGTACATGTGGTGCTTATTTTTCCATTCTTGGGATATTTCACTTAATAGAATGGGTTCCAGCTCTAGCCAGGAAAATATAAGATGTGCTATTTCACTGTTGTTTCTTATAGCTGAATAGTACTCCATGGTATACATATACCACATTTTATTAATCCACTCATGTATTGATGGGCACTTGGGTTGTTTCCACAGCTTTGCAATTGTGAATTGTGCTGCAATAAACATTTGAGTGCAGGTGTCTTTTGCATAAAGTGACTTTTGTTCTTTTGGGTAGATGCCCAGTAATGGGATTGCTGGATCAAATGGTAGATCCATTTGTATTGCTTTAAGGTATCTCCATATTACTTTCCACAGAGGTTGAACTAGTTTGCAGTCCCACCAGCGGTGTAGGAGTGTTCCTCTCTCTCTGCATCCATGCCAGCATTTGTTGTTTGGGGACTTTTTGATAAAGGCCATTCTCACTGGAGATAAGTGATATCTCATTGTGGTTTTGATTTGCATTTCCATGATGATTAGAGATGTTGAACATTTTTTCATATGTTTGTTAGCCATTATTCTGTCTTCTTTTGAGAAGTTTCTGTTCATGTCCTTTGCCCACTTTTTGATGGGGTTGTTTGATTTTTCCTTGCTGATTTTCCTGATTTCTAAATAGATTCTAGTTATTGGCCCTTTATCGGATATGTAGCTTGCAAAAATTTTCTCCCATTCTGTGGGTTGTCTGTTTGCTCTCTTGACAGTTTTTTGGCTGTGCAGAAGCTTTTAAATTTGATCAGGTTCCATTTATTTATTTTTGTTGCCGCTGTGATTGCCTTTGGGGTCTTCTTCATAAATTCTTGGCCTAGGCCAATGTCTTGAAGAGTATTTCCAGTATTTTCCTCTAGAAATCTAATAGTTTCATGCCTAAGGTTCAAGTCTCTTACCCAGCATGAGTTGCTTTTTGTGAGAGGTAAAAGGTGTGAGTCCTGTTTCAGTCTTCTACATGTGGCTATCCAGTTTTCCCAGCACCATTTATTAAATAAGGATATTTTCCCAGTGTATGTTTTGTCTGCTTTGTCAAAGATTAGATGGCTATATGAGGATGGTTTTATATCTGGGTTCTCTGTTCTGTTCCACTGGTCAATGTCCCTGATCTTGTGCCAGTAAAAAGCTATTTTAATAACCTTAGCCTTGTAGTATAGTTTGAAGTGTGGTAAATTGATACTTCCCATCTTGTTTTTATTGCCTAGGATTAATTTTGCTATATGGGGTCTTCTCTGGTTCCATACGAAGTATAAAATTATTTTTTCTATATCTGTGAAAAATGATGATGGTATTTTAATAGGGATTGCATTGACTCTGTAGGTCACTTTGGGTAGTATAGACATTTTAACAATGTTGATTCTGCTAACCCATGAGCATGGTATGGTCTTCCACCTGTTTACATCCTCTGCTATTTCCTTCTTCAGTGTTTCATAGTTCTCCCTGTAGAGGTCTTTTACCTCTTTAGTTAAATATTTCCTAGGTACTTTATTTCTTTGTTGTTATTTTGAAGGGAATTGAGTCTTTGATTTGGTTCTCACTTTTACTGTTGTTGGCGTATATGAATGCCTCACATAAATTCATTTATCAATTCAGGATTCAACCAAGAGACTCCTTGAATTGATAAATGAATTCAGATTACAGGAATTCTCATATAAAACATAATGTATATTTCATATAATAATACAATGATGTTTTTTAAAAACAGCTGAATGAAAATAAAATATCATGAAGGAGCCAAGTATATTATTTTCATACCCAAGCCTCTCATTAATTCTTTCTATCCTTTGTATATGAGCATAACTATTTCTATATATTAGATATTTGAAAAGTTGCAGTGAGATATTTATCCACCCAGTTAATTTGTAATGTTATTCTGTCAGATTTGGAAAGAAGGTACTATTGGGGGGCTCTGAAGTTAAGATTAGGGATTATGTAAACTAAAGGTATATTTTTAGGAAAGAAGACTCTTTAAACCAATTTGAGATTGCTGTTTCTCAGACTTTGTTATAGTTTGTGAAATATTATGAAACATCAGAAATTTTAAAGCTGACCTATTCCTTTTATTTGCCACTGTAGATTACATCAGAATGAATGAGTGAGACAAAAACAAAATTATGTTTTGGTATCACAAGTGAATTATTAATTTGGAACAGAAACAAAAGTTTACATACCATGATAATTATTATTGTGCTAATGGGTGAAGTTAGCGCCTAGAGAGCCCCACTAGCTTTGCAGCAGACCCAGGCTCTTCCTCCACATCACTTCACATAAATGGAGAGGCTCCATCTGCCCTGTGCCTGCTAGTTGGTCAGCCAGCATGTTTCATTTTATAGCAGTGCTGTTTCACGTTATACGCTAAGATCTCACAAGTCATTTCATGATTGATCTTCTTCAGTTCATTGTTGTGTTTAGCATTTAGCAGAGAGTGGGGAGGGTATATGATGGACTGAAATTAGAATTGGGTAGGAAGTATAGCTGCAATCAGCGTATAAAGAAGAGTAATCAAAAGCAGAAACATACATAACAGATGCAGTTTAATTCTGTCTTCAAACCTAAAGTTATATTAAGATAAAAGAGAAAAAGCAGAAAGCTAATTCAGGTTGTCTTTCCAGACCTCAAGGTATTATAGTTTGACTTTGCCCAAAGCAGAACATGAGACAAAGACTTGGGTGCAGGTAATTTGTCTGGAAGATAATCCCAGCAGGCACCTGAGACAGGAAGGATTGGGAACAATGAGGCAAGAGGAAAAAAGTCAATATAGGGACATCAGTGAGCTAGCTACTGCTGGGGTTCCTCCTTGTTCAGGACAGCCACAGAAACCCTATGGAACATCTTTTAGAATTGTCCCACCAGGGGACGCCCCCAGGCAAAGAAGTAGGAGACACAGATTTGAGATAAAAAGCCATCAGTATGCCTAAACTATCTACTAAGGCAGCAGATGAATCCAGAAAGGACCCAGAGGACATGGGATAGGGCATAAATGGCACCTGCTATAACAGGTGATGTACATCATAAATTGTCCCTTGTAGAGGCACCCTGGGAATGCAGGATGGTAACAATGAGATTAATCTAGGCACACTCAAGACAGTGCACATGCAATCGTCATAAGGTTTATAGAAACGTCATTATTTAACTAGTAATCGTTTGGTTCTGGCCTAAACAAGAGATTTCCATCAACGTTGTGGAACCAACAGTTGAGACATAGGTAGTATATCTTCAAATATCAAATTGAAATCTAACCTGGTAAAAGTACAGGCAGCTGTTAAGACAGCCCGCCGTATAGGAAACACAAACAATAATGGATTCATAGTTTTACCTTCAAGTAGAGTAACAATGGCCAAGAATAAACTGTAATTTCTGGGAACTTCTCAGACTTAATTAAATTCATGACCCTTTTCTCAGAGGATTCAGGATGGTTATTCTTAACAACAGTCTATAAAGAAGTGATATGTGAAGGAGTTCTTTTTATTCCAATCAGTGTAGCATTTACTTCAGGCCCTGCATCTCTCCAGAAATGGCAGTGCATTTTGATATGACATACTGGTTCTATTTAGGGATGAGGATTAAAGGATGCTTTTTCACAAGAAACCCAGCAATACATTCTATTTTTATTTACAGAGGAAGGTGTAGGAGAGGGATTTATTAAAGGAAGGAAAGTGAAGGGAAGAAAAGGGGGAAAGAAAAGAGGGGGAGGGAGGGAGGGAGGAAGGAAGAAGGAAGGACAGGAAGGAAAGGAAGGAAGGAAGGAAGGAAGGAAGGAAGGAAGGGGAAGGAAGAAGGAAGAAGGAGAGAAAATTTGTCCCACATGCCTCAGAGTCTATCAGCATTCATAGAAAGGAAATGTACTGTGCATTAGGCCACGTGGTTGTCAACCTGACCATCTAATTAACTGCTTTTCATGGGCAGGGGTCTAAGAGACAGAAAAGCTACAGACTGGAAGCCTTTGTGTTAGAGTTTGTTTGTTTGTTACACTGGATGCTACTACAAATGGAGAAAATAAAACTGCCAGAGAGAAAAAACACCCAGAAATATATTTTTATTAGATAAAAAATAATCTGCTTATTTTTCTTCCTCCATTGCCTCTTTTGATACTACTGTAGTAACATTCTCTCTTTTAAAGTCTTGTGCTGCTTCTGGGAGTCCTAGGGCTATTATTATTGCCTGAATTTGTCATGTGCTAGACTCTAGTTATTTCTGTGGGGTTTTTTCTCTGTCTCCTGCACTAGATTGATAAATTTCAAATAGAAGCAGTGTCGCTTGGAAAGCTGCAGAAGGTGCTGTTGCGCTGTGAGGCCAGTGACAAATCACAGTACTGGTACTGTGAAAAGGTCATCGTCAGAGAACCCAATACCTTATGTGAGTCCATCTTCACCTGTGAAAGGTAATGCTGTTCTCTATGGTACTTCACGAGAGTGTGTCACGCTGTGGATGCTGCTCTGTGTGTGTGTAAGTGATGAATTTGTGTCACTCAGGATTCCACATCATGTATCACTCATTGATTACTTAAGTAAATAATCTATTGCTAACCATCGTAAGGAAGTCTTGTCTTGTAACTTCTTATTATCACAATGTTCTATGTGTCACAAAAGCCTTAAAAATTTAATATTGGAAATATTTCATATATAGTGAGAATATTTGTTTAAATGTTTGTTTCTTTACATTACTAAAATTACAGTGTGATAACAATTTTATAAGGGAATTAAGTGTAGAAAACTCTATGGAGAATTTTCAGAGCAGAACATAAGAAAGAGATTAAATTCCAAGTAAGTTGGGCTTTCCCTCAAGCCCCATAAGGGTAAATCCCGGAAACAACTCTCTGTTCCTGACATGGCCCAACTGCCTTTAGGTTTGAGCCCCAGTCCCACACAGACTCCCTCCTTGAAATCTCGTTGGCAGAAGCCTCACACCTCCTTGCTTAAGTAAGTGTCACTTATTTTCCCAGGAAGAAGCCAGGCTCTCTGCTGAGCCCGCTAACCCAAGAAAACTCCCAGCTTCGCTAGATGGGCACTTAAGTGTATTGTTGCTTGGTCTGTTAATCACAAGGAGGAGGATGGGACCTGGACTCATGAATGGGCTTGAGTATGAGCAGCTTTCTACATTAAAACTCTATCTATTGTAGATGTGAGAGTGAGAAACTTAGGGCTCCATTTCAAAATTTTGAATATTCAGTGTATGGGGCTACCCAACAGCCCTTTTCTCAAATAGATAATCAATAGGAAATAAGACAAAATACAGGCAAAACTGGGCATTGGGAAATTCAAGGGTATGTATTTGGAGATGCCCAGGCAATTGCAACTTTAAGTAGCAAGCAAAAAGTGGAGCAAAAAATGAGGGAATTCAATTAAAATTACTAAAGGCATGCCACTCAAAAACGCAGACACCAAAGATGACAGGAGATGACTGCAGATGAGCAGGAACAATGGGGACAACAGTAGGCCCTTCCCCCTTTTTTGCCTTTTTAGTCATTAAACTCAGTCAATTCCTTGTTCAGAGTGTCTGTTTAATTCATTTCTTCTTTTCTCTTACTACTACCTCTTTCCCATCGGTGCCCCTGTTTCATTAAGACTAGCTCATCACAACAGTCTTCTGATTGTCTCCCAAGTCTGTCTTCTACAGCCTACTGACCACCAGTTCCAAGCTCATCATATTATAATAGCATCATCCTGACTTGACCTTATATTTTCTTCTCTCATTTTTTCTTTGTTTCCTTTTTAATTTTATTCTTTAGTATTATATTGTATAGTTTTGCCCTAAAATTTTTTAAGAAAAAATGTGAGTAAAAGTATTGTTCTGATAACTGTATTTTAATCATTCTATTCCCATGTTTAAAAATCTTCAATAATCCTCATTGCCTACCAAAAAAGCAAAACAAAACAAAAATTCCTGATCTTCTATTCAAGGGTTTATATGTTCTGATTCTATTTTTTCCCCTCTAATTTATTTTTTGTTTATTTGGTTGTTTGTTTGTTTTGGAGACAGAATCTCTGTCTGTCACCCCTGCTAGAGTGCAGTGATGTCATCATAGCTCACTGCAACCTCAAACACCTGGGCTCAAGTGATCCTCCTGCCTCAGCTTCTCTAGTAGCTGGGATTACAGGTATGCACCACCACGCCTAGCTCATTTTTCTATTTTTTTGTAGCGACAGGTCTTGTTCTTGCTCAGGCTGGTAATTGAACTTCTGACTTCAAGCAATCTTCCTACCTTGGCCTCCCAGAGTTCTATGACTATAGGCGTGAGCCACCACACCCAGCCCCAATTTGTTTTTATAACTGTCTTCTTGCAAGATTTTTTTTTTTTTTTTGGTCTTTTTTTAAAATTTTCATTTTAGTTCAACATATTATAACAGTACAAATGTTTAGGTTACATATATTGCCCTTTCCCCGCCTGATACTTCACTTAGTAGAATGGATTCCAGCTCTATCCAGGATAATACAAGAGGTGCTATATTACCATTGTTTTTTGTGGCTGAGTGGAACTCCATGGTATATATATACTACATTTTATTAATCCACTCATATATTGATGGGCACTTGGGTTGTTTCCACAACTTTGCAATTGTGAATTGTGTTGCTGTAAACATTCTAGTGCAGATGTCTTTTTTATAGAATGTCTTTTATTCTTTTGGGTAGATGCCTAATAATGGGATTGCTGGATCAAATGGTAGATCCACTTGTATCGCTTTAAGGTATCTCCATATTGCTTTCCACAGAGGTTGAACTAGTTTGCAGTCCCATCAGCAGTGTAGGAGTGTTCCTTTCTCTTTGCATCCATGCCAAAATTTATTGTTTTAGGACATTTTGATAAAGGCCATTCTCACTGGAGTTAAGTGATATCTCATTGTGGTTTTGATTTGCATTTCCCTGATGATTAGAGATGTTGAGCATTTTTTGATATGTTAGTTGGCTATTAGTCTATCTTCTTTTGAAAAATTTCTGTTCATGTCCTTTTCCCACATTTTGATAGGGTTATATATATAGATTCTAGTTATCAGCCCTTTATCAGATATGTAACATGCAAACATTTTCTCCCATTCTGTAGGTTGTCTGCTCTTGTGAAAGTTTCTTTGGGTGTGCAGAATCTTTTTAATTTGATCAGGTCCCATTTATTTATATTTATTGTTGCTATGATTCCCTTTGGGGTCTTCTTCATAAATTCTTTGCCTAGGCCAATGTCTATAAGAGTTTTCCAACCTTTTCTTCTAGAATTCTTATAGTTTCATGCCTTAGGTTTAAGTCTATTATCCGCCACAAGTTGATTTTTGTGAGGTAAGAAGTGCAGATCCTGTTTGAGTCTCCTACATGTGGCTATCCAATTTCCTAGAATCATTTATTGAATAAGGATTCTTTTCCCATTGTATGTTTTTTTCTGCTTTGTCAAAGATTAGATGGCTATATGAGGATGGTTTTATCCGTGAGTTTTCACTTGTGTTCCATTGGGGTATGTCTCTGTTCTTGTGCCAGTGCCATGATGTTTTAGCTACTATAGCCTTGTAGTATAGCTTGAAGTCTGGTAAATTGATGTCTCCCAATTTGTTCTTTTTGTGTAAGATTTCTTTTGCTATATGGGGTCTTCTTTGGTTCCATATGAAGTGCAAAATCTTAGTCAATTTAGTCTACTTGTCATTACTTGAACAAGTTCTGTTCCATATTGCTTCTGTTTTGTTGAGTGTGCTGTTCCTCACAGAGGAATGAATGCCCTATCTCATTCAACTCTTTCCATCAATATCTTGCCCATTTTTCAAGTGTCCATTCAAATTTGGCCTGTAGCATGAAATAATTGGCCCAATTTGAAATAACTTATCTCTTCTCTCAATGCTTACTCAGGACAGCATGGACACCTCCATCTGACTAGTGACACGTAGCACTGACTAGTGACACGTAGCACTGAAGAGGACCCAGCATCAACTTCCTGCCTGTTCCCATCCACAGCACATAGGCTTCTTAGAGGCAAGGTGATAGCTGTGTTTTATTCCCCTCATCAGAAAAGCTAGAAAGTACTTCATCCAGTGTTTTTTTCTTTATATTTTGATATACTTTATCACATTAATTTAGTTGATTTCTTTTAAATGTGAAATCTTCTGGGGGATAATTTAGATGTGTTCATTGCCACTGTTCATGCTGACATATGCATTTCGTGCCACCAGGGCTGCCCACCACCCTTGCCCTGCTGCCTCCACTCTCATCTCCTTATTCTTGTTTGTGCTGTACCAGTATGACCTCCTCTGGAAGGAACAGACATATGTAGTAGCTTATGTAGTTTCAGTGGGTTGCATCTGAAAAAATTTTAGTTATAAAATATGTTAAACAATGAAAAACAATATAACAGAGATGTATGATCCTAATAATCAAATGCTAATATTTGAACCCTAAATATAATAGGGTTCAAAGAAATGGTAGCCAGTGCTCATTTATACAATACTCTGATGAAGAAGGTAAATTGTAAGAATCATTCCTTCCTATTCTGTAGATATAAGAGATGGGGCAGGTCTTACTTCCCTAATTCTTAAAGAAGCAAAAGAGTATGGGACTAGGAAGAAAATATAGGCATAGAAGTTTCTTTTCTACAACAGAATAAGACTACTCTGAGGCCACATGTAGTTGCTTCTCTCCTCCCAGAGCCTTTTCTATGCATGTGAAAGGTCAAGGACAGTGTCCTCTGAAGCAGATAGAGTCTAAAACTCTTCTCTGAGGGGAAGGAAAGCTGTGGCTGCACATAGGAGCCAGACTGGACAATCTCTCGCAGTCCTGGTGCTGGAACTGGGTGGGGCATGATGCTGGGCATGCTTGTTGTATGTAGGTAATTAGTTCTGGGGTGCAGGCTACAGATATGCTCAGGGAGACACTTCACAGAAAGGAAAAGGAAAGAAAATCTTGGTCATGCTCCTTGGAGCTTCCTCAAAGAGTGGGAATTTATAGCACAGCTGAATTAAGGTGGAGAGAAAGACCACCAAGTGCTAGTTCCTTTTGTGCACTCAGGGGAAATGCTTAGGTGAAATACAAAGCAGAGCTTTGGGGGGAGGTGAACACTTCCGCATCACAGTGGCTTCCTCCTGAGCATGCACAGCTTCCTTTTCTTTTCCCCTCTTCAATTGAACACCCACGTCCCTATGGTTTTATTTTATTTCTATGCCTAAAGATATTTTTCTGCCTTTTGTACATTTAATATAGATAGAGGTTTACACCACTGACTTTCTACCATTTACACTGAACGTTTGGCTATTTGAGGTTTGTAGCATGAAACATTTGTATTTGAATAAGGCAGACAGTCAACTGATTTTATGTGTTGGCATAAATATTCCTATATACTATTTGTATTAGTGTCCTGTAGCTGCTATAACAAATTACCACAAACCTCATAGCATTAAACAACAGAAATGTATT